TGGGCTGCGCACACATTCCTGCACAAGAAGAACGTTCTGGTCAACTGGCTGGCCAACAAAATTGACATTGGCAGTAGCACGCCTTTGCTGTGCGATGGCAATGGGAAGGAGCTGGCAGTTAGTACCAGTCCTTCCTTCTCTGCTCCCAAGAGCTGATCAGCACAGTTAAAGCTGTTAGTGCCAACGATACAGCTGGCAGTATATTGCACATGATGGGCTGGCTCCAGATTAAGCATACTTAGAGTAGGCCAGTGCAATCAGTGGTGTTAGTAACTTAAGCTGTACCGATTCCACAGATGGCTAGATCTGGAAATAACCCTAGGAGTTGGGTGAGAGTTGTTTCCCCATGTAAAGTCATTCTGAGTGCCTGATTTTACATCTGAAAGGGCGGAAAGCTGATTCCACACATGAGTTGTCCTTGTTGGCTCATGGCATTGGCATATGAGATGCATTATATGCTTAGCATTGAATCAGATGGCATTAAAATTCTTGCAGTCTTTGCATGTAGTATATGGAAGAGAAGTAGAAAATTACTACATGGTGCTTTTAAAAAGATGACTTCAATGAGGCATACATGAAACAGAAGAATGAAAGTGGCACTTTCAAAGACAACTCCACAATATGGCTTGGTCTCAAACACATCCAGACTGCTCTTGATTGTAATGTCTTCCAACCTGCTGCTGGTTCATACCACTGTATCAAAATTGTATATACTATTTTACAAAATAACATCATTTTATGTTCTTGCTATATGGCAAGGCGGAATGTCATCATCATATTTTGTCCAGTAGCGGTTAAACCCATTAGAAGCTATAAACAAAGTAATTTTCAGAGAAGCTAGGACAGGAGGGTTATTACTGGTTTGATAAGACAAAATAGTAGTAACATTTATTATTCTCTCCCAGAAAGTTAATGAGAAATGACTTGCAGCATTTATTCTGTGACTTGATAGGAAACCCAGAAAATCTGCCGTGGCTTTGCATATGGGTCGAAGAGGTTCTGCACAGCTTCAGAGAGGAACAAAAGCGTGAAAAATTTGCTTGGCTAAAATCTTGTGTAGCTTCACCTTTGTCTCCATGATTTGGAGGTTACAGAGACAACTGTTCCTTATGGGAAGCACATGGTTCAATGTGACCATGAACTGGGGGTGACACTGTAGCTTTTCAGTGCCTCTGAAGGCACAACTGCACTCCACGTCTTTGGCACTAATCAGTTTTAATCAGTTGCTAAGGGCTTTACTGCAGTGACCTGATCTTTCCTTTAAATTGCTACTGAGAATGCCTCCAAATGTTGCTGCTGCAAGTTTTCCAGTTGAAATTGCAATAACAAATACCATTTTTGTACTGTGTTCTTGAAATGTTGCCCTTTTCCAGCATTAAGATTTTCTGCCTAGACAAAAATAGCAAATAAGGAGGCAAGAAACCAGAAACTGGATCAGGCTTATGATGATGGGCAGACAAAATGATGTGGAATCTGTGTGTGTCTTCAGAAGTTTATCTTGTACTATAACTGAGATGAAGATCCTTGAAGCCAAGGAAATAACCTGCGGATCCACTTTTGCTACTCAGATCTACACAGATTTATATGAAATGACCCTTTCTTGCAATTTTCATGTCTCCCTCTATTACCATGGGTTTGTGAGGGAATATATACAGATACATGTTTGTGTGTGTGTATTCAGGAAAAGAATTTGAAACAGCTCTTTAAAAAATCACAGCAAAGTATATGTTGGTGAATTTGAATACGTACAAAAACATAAAAATGAACACTACATTACCATAATGTTTTAAGATAGTGGGATCAGCATGTAAGCAGAGAATTGGTGCTGAAGAAGCAAACTTAGAAGACAAAGGATGCTGATTTTGTATGTGTGTAATCAAATGATATACACCAGCAGTTCTATATCTGACCTTAACAGTTTTATCCAAAGATCTCTGCTTACCTCGATACTATGGCCCTGTTCCAGATGCTAATCATGCCTGCTACATCCTCTTGAGATCGATGTGGTACAGTTTAGTCACAGCTAACATAAGTTTCTCTGTGACTTTGCTGTGAGTTTCACAGGAAGAATGCAGGTTTGGCGGGGAAAGAGCCCTGAGATTGGCCTGCCTGATGTGGTTGAAATGCTCACACACATAAAACCGAGATAACAGCTGCCCCCACCGGGGTGTGTATTTGTGTGTATGAGAGAAAGAGAGGGAGGGAGAATGAAAGCTATTCCTCACGTATGCAAAGAATAAGAGCTCTTTCCACAAGGAGAGTGCATTCTACTTCTAAAGGTTTTAGGAAATTAAGCAGGCAAGCAAGCAACGTGGTGAACTTGACCTTATGTTGCAGTACCTAGTTGCCTTTCTTGCAGCAAAAGACTCTTGCTCAAGAGCTGCCCAGTCAAAGCCCAAATACGATGAAGGGTGCAACCCTCACATTGAAGCCTTAGGTGGTGAACATCACATGTTTGAAAGCCGATCCTTTTAATTTCAAGTTACCTATTTTCAAGCCTGAACTCAGACTTAACTGTCCCACGGCCAGATACTCTGAGGTGCCTTGCAAACATGCACGGCATGGGGCTGCTTCGACAAGGGGATTTGTGTTTGTGTAAGGACGGCTGTACGGCTTTACTGGGAGAGGGGATGGGGTGGGGAGGAGCAGGAGCCCCCGTGCAGGGTAGCCAGTATCCCTTTGCTCCGGAGGCCAGGGCAAACCTGCACGGTCCATTCCTCGCTTGCAGGGTTGGGCTGGAGGCCAAGTGGCAATGAGGGCAGAGCCCAGTGGCTTCACTGGATACGTCACGGCATGCGTTGCTGTGGCTAAAGCAGATGCAAGAGCCCAGGCCACCACACAGATGGACTTCAGCTGGGCAGCGCCTTTTCCATGGCGCATCACACATGTCGGTGGCTTGCAGCCTAGCAGGGGACCTCTGGGTCTTTGACAAGTCAAAGGATAATCTGCCGATTGAACTCCTGGGAGCCATTGTGTCCTTCAGGCTAAGGCAATATCTGGGAGGCCAACTTCCTCAGCAGGGTATTATTATAACGTCACAAGGCCATTGAAATTAGGTCGCTCTCCTTGGGATTATCAAAAGAAACACAAATGGGCACAATGCAATATTAATGCCATGGCACTTGGCATTCCCATTTGAAGGGTTAATAAAACCAGACTCTTACAGAACACGGTTTTTTAAAGAAAAAGCAGCCTCAGATCTTGACACCAGAAGCAAAATGCACACAGTGACCACGTATTACAACAAATCGTGGTTCGAGGGCAGCAGCCCTTTGCAGCGGCCTTAAGACTGTATTTCCTTTCCTGCAACGACAGCACTGCATTTGCCCTGATGGACCAAAGGTGACTATGGCCCTTAACGTTTGCAGAATTTAAGACCTACCTGGCCCTTTTTCCCTTAAATTTAATGAGGAAAAAATGAGATGTGCTGTAGTTCCCCCACTCCCAGCTCCTCACACATGCTCATCGTGCTTTGTTCTTATATGGGTAAAAAACATAATAAAGGTCTTGCAGTAACACATTCATTTTCCCACACTGAATGGCAATGGGGAACAATGCGTTGCTGCTATGGAGATATAACTGTGTGGGAGAAGCTTTTGGAATAATTTTAATCACATTCTCCTGGTTTGTAAGTGTAGGAATCACATGTCATATTAACCAGAAGTGATATTAACCATAGACCCAGCAGCCTAAGGATGTTTTTCTTTTAAAAGAGAGCAAATAAATATTAACAATTTAAAATAAAGGAAAGACAGCTTATTACTTTTGATGGTTAGTGCCTCTGACAGCTTCAGTGCTTCCAAATGAGGAATCATTTAGAGTAAATGAAGAAAAAGCATTTTCAGCAAATCCAATGGTTCGCTATTCAGGAAGCAGAGGCAGCTTGCATAGCATTATTGCAAACTTGATCAAAGCAAAATCCAAGACTTGCAAGCTTGCAGAATGATTGCAAAGAAATAGAGAAGTGTATTTGCAAAGCACTCCTTCCTCACGTATTTGGAAAAGCCATTCTCCTTGCTAAAAGTGTGTTTTCCTGTGTGTCTGGGTGCCGAATACGCCCGATTTCTCAACATCAAGCCCAGCTTAAACTGAACTGATACTGGCAGACAAGGCAAGTGGAATCTTGCCCTGAACTCTTTTACTCAGTGGAGAGAATGTTAACCAAGTTCTGCTAGAATGAAGATGTGCCTTTGCCACATATTCTCAGAGGGTATGACAGGGAACAAAGATGCATTTCTTTCTGAATTAAAGCCAAACCAGAACACCAACAAGCTGATTTTTGTATACTAAATTTCAGAGGGGAAGAAAACAAAATGACCGCTTGCTGCTAACTTTAAAGTAGGACAGCACAGTAGTCAGTCATAACAAATGACACAATGAAAGAGACCAGTTAATTCAAAATTTCAATATTGGTAACTAATAGGCGCGTAAGACTGTTGTTTGGATGTGCTGACCCCTGGCTGTGTTCTATATTCTCTTTAAAAAAGGAAGTGCCGGTGGAGTAGATTAAGCTATGAAATCTGACCAAACAAAAGGCATCACCATGCCAATAAAAGGGAACCATGCTTGCAGTTATTCCAAACAGTAGCCAGTTGAGAGGGAGAGCCGTCTCCCAAATTCAGTGTGGAATACAAAATTAAATGAGGCAGAGAAATCTCTCTCTTCAGCCAGCAGTCTGCTGGGCACAGGGCCTCTAATGCACATGGGTGTGCAAGAGCACCCCACTTGTGCAAGGGGCTCCTGCGTGTGAAAGGGCTTCCCTATTCACTTCAATGTAAGGTTCAGCTCTGCATGCTTATCTCCATTGTGCTTGTGGAGTTTTACCCAGCACCAAAGTGAATGGGAAACCTGACTGTGAAAGAGATGGGTGTGCATATTGGAACGCCCAAGCGGCTTTAGAGTGAACGCCATGTGCAATGCCTGATGCTTCAGTTATCATTGTAGAGATACGAAATGACTTGTGAGATTGTGCAAAACATGAGTCCTTAGAGATATAGGAACTACCATATATAGCCAATTTCATCATCCTTCTCATCATCTTCATCTTCATCGTCATCATTAGCTGCTCTTACATGGATCTTCTGTTTCCCTTCTTTGTCTTTTTTTGCTGCTTCATGTTCCTCTTCCAGATCATCCAATAATATCACTGATCCGCCACTACCGAAATCCCCCGAAGTTTCTTGTTCTTCTTCTGCAATAGGGAAGGTTATAGTTTTAAGCCTGGTTCTCTGTCATGTTATGTCAATACTCTCATGACTTAAGGAACTTAATTTTGTATGCATCTGATTATGTTTTTTTTTAAACACACAGCTGTTTTTACAAAGGAAAATAGGACAACAGTGCCCAAATAACATACAGTCTTCTGCTGCACCCACAAAACCATGCATTTTCAGAAGGAAGCAGTAGCTGAAGACAGAACCTTACATCTCTAAATTCTTGGTTCAAATCCATTCCAGGTCAATGGTGACTGAAAGACACCACCATCTGATGGGTGCTCGAAGATATCTGAAATGAGTTGCTGATCTCAGTAAATTGCAACCTTATAAAAACCCCACCACAAAGATCACTCACTGACATCTCAGCTTCTGTCCAGATACTGGCAAGAAAGGATGAAGGGCAAATGGAACCAGAAATATGTCTTGCACCAGTTGAGGCCCCATCAATGAAGGCAAATGAAGGGATGCTGTGGGAAGGTTCAAATTCTATCACTTAAGCTATGCCAGGGGGATCTGTTCACAGCTTAATTCATTTTATATGGTCAGTGGTGAATCAAAGGGAAAGAATTGTGGGTTTGTATACCCATCCTAGGCAGCCAAAGATGTGATCCTTGGCAAATGCTCACACACAATTTGCATAGATTACTGATACCAAAATAAGGCTCCTAAAGAAATGCATCTCCATATAAAATGATGCACTTCTAGTCCTGTGGTGTCCAAACTTGGTATAGACTTTGTTGTAAACCAGCGTATTCATTAGAAGATCTTATTAGGAATTCTTCAGTGAGATTAGTAGAAGCAAACAAGCTGCCCCACAAGTCAAAGTACTCTGCATGGCAGTCTCCCTTCTATAATGTGCAAGGCCCTGTTGAGTGCTCCGTGGGGCAGAAAGACACGCTCCAGGGCAGTGCTGAAACCAGCAGGCCTGCCTTGCACCTTAACTGAAATGTAATGAATGCCAGAATTTGCTGAAATACTAGAGGATCCCAGAGCACATACACAGAGATTTCCTTTCTTTGTAGCCAAATTAAACAAGGAAAGCATTCCCTAAAGGAAATGTGAATACTACCAGGAGTAAAGGCAATCACCACCACAATTATTTTCAATGCCTGAATTCCAGAGAAAAAATTCCAAGCCAGACTGTTACGCTGACAGGAGCTCTGTTTCTGAATAAGATGAATATTATCAACACTTGTATAGGATTGAGTTATAAAAGCTTTAGTATTGTATTTCTTTTTTGCCCAGACGTTCCGCTGTAAACTAATTTCTTGTACAGACTGAGCTGGATTGTATAAGCAACTGTGGAAGAATCATTTCTATAGATAGTGGTGTGTACACACTCACAGATGGACACTCACTGGGCCAGGATCAGCGACAGTTTCAGCCTCTGTGCCAAAAGTGATCCATGGCACAGTTGAGCACCAGTTTCCTTATAGCAACCCTCATTAATAGAACTCGTTAACTGAGCACTTTTTGTTGGAGGGGGGTCACATGGTTCTTCAAGAATTCAAATAAAAAAACATATCAGTCTACAGAATCCTCAACAGCTTAACTGACTTCAGTATAAAATGCTGCAGTTTCTAGGCTGGGAGAAAAAGAGAGGAGGTGCCTTTGCCAATGTTACATTGTGATGCATGCTCAGGAAGAAAGGTTTCTTGCATGGGCACATTGTATTATTGCTACCAGGACTTGGATACTTGTCACGACAGCTCATGCATTTTCCCATCCCGTGCGCCGTTTTGTGCTCTCCCAGTCAGTCCTGCAGCAGCAGGCAAGGACACACACAACATTAATCCCAGCTTTATTTGGAGGAAGCTCGCCGTTACTCACCGCAGCTAACCGCTCCCTGCTTCCTTGAGCCGGCTATCTCGTTTCCGTACTTATCCACGCACCAGCACTGGTTGGTGCTGCCGTGGCACTGAGTCGCTTTGTAATAGCCCTCCTCGTTGCAGCGTGGAATGAAAGCACCTGGAGACGGCACAGGGGGCCGCGTCAGTAACAGGAAGACGTGTCATCGTACGACCAGGCAGACAGGTGGAGCGGCACTAGCTGGCCCTGGTGTTCAAGAGGGCCCTCTCTCACGGTGGAGAGGGCGATGCGTTCCGAGTGCCTTCGGTCAGCGGCTCCTTGGGGAGGAGCAGCCTTCCACACAAATGGCACTGCGAAGAGAGTCCTCTGCTCGGGGGAGCTCAGGCAGGCGATACCCCAAGGCGGCTGCCTCTTGCGATGGACCCACACTTTGCCATCTTGAACACCTGGTCCAATTAATATCCGGTTCAGTGCTCTGATGGCAGCAGTTGTGCAGCCTCCTGCATCATGGATGAGGCCGCTTGCTCTGTGGCAGATTGGAAGCAGCGGAAGGCTCCTGCTGGCAGGACAGGCCTTCCTTCTGCACCTTTCCCCCTCTGCGCTGCAGCTCCTGTGCACACTCTCAAACTTTTCCAGAGGGTTTAGGGACCCTCTGGAGAAGATGTGGAGGGCACATGGAAGACTGAAGGAGAGAAGAGACCCTGCTCCATTCCAGGCACCTTATCAGTCCACTGGCGGAATGACAATGCTGGATTCTACTCCTATCCAGTAGCAGGACACACCACACACATCTCACCCTATACAAATCAATGGATTGGGGCTCGTCTATCCTACAGCATGGTCATCACACACAAATTGACACAAGACACGCTGCTTTGGAAAGCTAATGAGAAAGTAATTATTTCTATGTTCCATTTTTTTAGTTTTCAGATTTCTGCATTTATAGTACGAAGATAAATTATCCCTAGAAGGTGCTACCCATCTGTCTGTAGGAAGATTTCATGCATTAAATATGACAGAGCTGTTCAAAAGAATTTCTAGACGATGGGGGCAAGCCAGAAAAAAAGGAAAACAATCAATTCGAGTTGTGCCTTTGTTATGTAACGGGCATGCTGGCAGAAGCTGGTGGTGTATCCCAGTGTGGCTCTTCAGCCATGGAGCCCTTTCTCAAGTAGCCTGAATTACTCTGGTGATCCTCTTCAGAACACACAGTGCTAATGCACCTAGATGCATATGTGCAATACAAGGGGCTTCTCCCAGGAGATCTGTTAGATGCATCTGCCAGAGGTGCCTGCATAGACATTTTCTTTGTCTGCTGTTTGCTTCATTTTCAAATCCAGAAAAGCAGCCTTTTATTGTGCCCAACAATATTAAATAAAATGTCTTATTCATTTGTCAAAGAGATGCCTCTTGATATACTGCTCAAAAAATATATAGAGGGTCTTCCTTCACCAGTTCCATACACAGAACAACTCTGCAGAGTGTGCATATATGTCAAAAGGACTATTTCCACTCCATTTCCCATGGAGAAAAAAAAATTGAAAGCAAATGCATTGCTCAAATGCCATTACTTGCATAAAAGACACAGAAATGGGAAATTGCTCACATATATATTTAGTGCATTATAAATCAATGCATTTTCCATCTGAGCAACTGCAGTTATTAAAGGAAGTGCCCAACTTTTAAACATTACAAATATAATTTATTGACAAATATATGAACATTAATCTTGAATTTGGCCCAATCTCAGGGACAATGTTGAGGAAAATCACACCTTTTAAAGTATGCCCTGTCAAGAACACTAAAGGAAAGGGATACAGATTTTGTGAAGGAAGCCATTCATATGAGGGTATCTGTGATATTGGTGTATGGAGACCCGCCCTGTCTATAGCCACTCCCATTTGCCACCTCCTTCACAGGCAGACATTTTGCAGGAGAAGGGAAATAATTCAGATTGGTTTGGAGAGAGGGGATGAGACCACTCCAGGTACTTGCTTTGGCAGCAGGTTTTTGTTTTGTTTTTAACTCAAAACAACCTGCTTGTAAGCAGTAGCATCTGGAGAAGGGCTCCTACTCCAGTTTCCCCAGGACATATCTTTGCAAAGATGCTTGCCAGATTGTTTTGCATCGAACCCCTAATGAACCGGCATTTCCTCTTTTAGGTGAAAACCATCCTCTGTTTCAGCCCAAGTGGCCATTCAGGAAGTGGGCTTAACTTTCTGAACAGTAGTGTTGGTTCAGAAATGCTTTTTAAGACGAATGCCCAGTTCTCTTTTAGATTATCCTCAGAACAGTCTCTTTTCATATTGTAGGCAAATCCCTGGAGCATGTGGATGCTAAAGAATATGTTTGTGTCTTTATTTGCCGTCCTCATTCTTATGGCTACAGTTATCCTTCCTCTATCCCCAGTTCTGCCATTCTATTACCTCTTGTGGTCCCTGCTGTACAGTCCCCTGTGCCTTAGCTCCATCTCTGACCAGTTAGCTTTAGTGAGAAGCAGTAATTTGATGAAAAAGACAACAATATTGGCATGGGCATTTGAGGAGGAAGGGCTTTATGACTTCAGTGATTCATTTCGCAGAATTTTCAGCATGTTTCTTTCAGCTTACTGGACCTGATTTCTGATTACACTTGCACTGGATTGTTCCGGCTATCTTGATCTCCCACCTGCCCATGCAAACGGAATCGGCCAGGGACCTGGCTTCATTTGGTATGGGCTTGCCTAGCCAGGGAAGGTCCAAATGCAGGGAAACCACCTCGACCAAAGTGCCAGGTAGATGATCCCCCCAGTGTGTTAGCTAAAGTGGCTTCATTTGCTCCCCACCTTCCACTGGGGCAGGTGTGGCAAAGGCAAAGCTGAGCCAGTCTGTGGAGGGTCTCAATTTATACTTTAGCAGTTACCAGAATGATAAACCTGCAGTTTCACAGATGGACTGTTCGGCTTCCAAGTAGCATGATGCACTCCACTTAAACGATGCTACGCAACGCCTGCCATTACCACACATTTATAAGTGCAATCTAGACTTCCGGGAAGAGGAGCGTACCATGAAGGCTGTTTCTTATGCATCAGATTTGCAAACATTTAAGCCAAAGCAGTATCTGACCAACATTTGTGTCAGGGTTAATGGAACTGACTGAAGATTTAAATCTTGCAATGACAACTCTGTTTCATGTGATGCTTGCTGGTGTGCCAAGGCATGCAACACATTTAAGCACAGATTGTTGTTCAGTTCTTAATACGATTCCATGAAGTGGCAAGCACAGAACAGAGAGTGGCATTGCCATTATTGCCTTATCAGGAAGCCATTTCTGCATATAACTTCACCATAATAACAGAAGCTTTAATTACTGGCTTAAATGAGTGAGAGGCAAATAGCTGAACTCACCCATCAGGCTCTTCCCTTTGCCCAGCTTTTGAATTCTGTTCATCTCATTCTGGCAAGGGAGACCTAAAATGTAATATGTGAGTGTGAGTTTCCAGATGGTAAGGCACAGATTCTCTAATGATTAGCTTCACAATTGACAGGCAACGTAGTCTATTGCTCACCTGGGAATGAACAAACCACATATGCTTGTACTGTACTGCAGAACAAATGTATGCCATTAGCTTTACTAATTAAAAAAAATCACAACATGCTATGCCTAAAAATAGTGCTTGGGGGCCATTTTGGTGGTGGAACACTTGTCCCTTCCCTTCATCAGCTCTAAAGCCAGGATGCTCATTTATTGCTCACTAATAGACTAATTTCCACATTATAAGCAATAACATAAGCAATAAGCTAATGGCGATGGAACCCTTGCTAAGGTTTGAGGGCTCTCTGCTGCTCAGCTGCCCTCATGTGAGCACTGCCACACCTACATTTTGCTATCCTGGAACAGGCTGCAGGCTCAGCATGCTTGTGACACTTTGGTCTACAGGGGAAGAAGAGGACAAAGGGGACTGAGTGTGTCCTGCTAGGCACAGGATGCTCTTGGCGTGGATGTGCATGAAAACTAAAAACTTGCCCTTTGGGTGCAAGGGTGCACCTGGCGAAGCAATGGAAGCCTGCATGTTCTCAGAGGGACCAAGAGCAGAGGCGGCTCTTAGACTAGAGAAAGGCTGCAGCTGGAGCAAGGCAGCAACTGACATCAGGAGCGAGGACTTCTTGGCAAGATACATCCAGGGGGTTCATTTATAGGTGTGGGAAGAAACTGCAGTCCTTGGCAGAATACTCCCGCGGTCATCAGACCTTCAGTAGGGCTCAAGGACACCTGGCTGGATTTCTTATGTGTAATCATGTGTTTGCTGATGCAGCCAAATAAAGGGGTAAAAGAGAAATTTGTGTTTAAGAAGGATGTGAAAGAAATGGCAAAAATGTGGGGAAGGTTTAAAGAGAAAAGCAACATGAAGACAAGAATGACAAGGGAGAAAATTGTGTGGAAAAAAGATGCCAGGATTCGAAAGATATGGAAATGTTTGGGGTAAGAGGACAATTGAATAGGAAGGAAGGACGGACAATTAGTGAGATGGAATTAGAAAATGGAAGGAAGAAAAGAAAGAAAATAGAAACAGGAACTTCTTGCAGACATCAGGGTGGTCTCACTGTTGGTTCTAAAAGTCAGACAAAACTACTTCTCAACCTGTCCAAGTGCTTAATATTTCATGAAAAATTATAGGGTAAAGTTAAAGCAGCACAAAGAAAGGAAAGAAGTCTTCATACCCAAGCTTTTCAGAGGGCAGAAGTGAGATGGACAATTCTAAAGGAGACACTATTGCAAAGTAGCAAATTATATAAACATTTGATTCATTTGATTCTTCACTACTGCACCCTTTATTCATCACCACTGTATGGTGATATTTCACAAATCATAACAATCTATTTGCCTTTTAATATGACTTGCAAGCTAATTTTCTGTATCGACCTCTGAATGGGAGAGTCAATTTTCTAGGACCGGAGTCTAGCAACTTACCTCCAGGCTTCTGAAAGCAGTAGCACCATTCATTGTTTGAGAGCTTCCCATCTTTGAAGGAGTCACAGGAGTTGAAGAGCGGTTTGATGCATGGTTCATACTTATCAAGATAAATGGCATTGATCTCAGAGTGATCGAGGAGAAGGTCATAGTTCATATCCAGTTTGTTGAACATCCAGCCCAATGAGTCCTTGCAGATTGGTAATATGCTAGTGTCAAATCCTGTAAAGGCAGGAGAAAATAACCCCAGCTGAGCCAAATTGCTAGAAAGAAGAATCCCCACTAATTGACTGTGTTCTCAAGTGTGGAGAGAACTGGGGCAAAATTGATTTCAGATTAAGCTTTCCTTTGTGTCTGGGTAAGAGATTGGAACATGGATCCAGTTCAGGACTAAGTATGAGTGGGTTAAAGAGACAGATGAGTAAATCTTAAAGATCAGCAAAAACCTGAGTCACACCCATTCATTGTTGCTTTATATATGTACACGGTGAAGTGGAGTGTTTCATAATATGAATGTATTTACCTTCACAAATCATCAGAACTTATCCTGATCATAAGCCTGAATGCGAACTGCTATGCATATCTCAAAAGAACTGCTTGCACATTCTTGAGCATGTTGAAAAAATGTATAATTTAAAAAGTGTCCACTTTAAAATGCACATTTTCCTCCCTTTAGTCAATGAGGTGAAAGTATGCATTTGTAAAATGCTTTTTTAATGAAATGAGGATTTTTCTGTTTGGAAAAAAAGAAACGGTGCTCACATTTGGGAACAGGAATATGGTGCAACAACCTTCAAGGAGAAAATTGGAGCAGTCTGAGGAGTTCAAGTCTCACTGGTTCTCCTCGCCTAGCTTACAGTTCATTAAAGCCTCTTTCCATTCAGAATTCAAGATTATCTTCTCTCTTTGTGTGTACATGCAGTATACTTACTTGCTTCATTATCCTGCTTTCCCATTAAAGAATTACTTGCAAAGCCACTCAAGGGAATGGAAGAATCCAAAGGCTGCTGGGGAAGGTGTTTGCAGCTGGGTCTGGCTCCAGTTATAAAAGAATGAGTCCAAACTGTTCCCCGGGCCCCATTGTTAAGTGAAGCAGCAAATGCCTTGAAAGTTTTTGTTCACTTCACTTTCAAATCATAGTATAAGAGCCAGAGGCTGGGATCAGAGGATAAGAGCCATTGTGGCTGGTTCCAGGTCAGTTTTCTGTGCCAAGGGCTTTTCTACACAAGGCTGTTAATCACTGTCGACTTTCAGTTTAGTCACAGAATTCACAAACACACCTTTTCCTTTCCTGCATTTCCACTGCATAACCCCTAGGTGGCAATGATATTTTAGCAGTAGATCACAATTACACCAGTTAGGAAAATGCTTTTTCTTTGGCTTCAGAAATAATACTTAATTCTTCCACCCGCAGAGCAGAGCAAAAAGCAAGCAAGTGCTTTTAAAAAACAAAAACAAAACTAGAGGATCACAGGGTGTCTTAGTAGCCTGCACACAGCCTCAAGTAAAGAAGCATGCACGTGCAATGAATACCTTGTATGGAGAAGCTCTAACAGTTTTCTCTCACATTTCTCTGTGTAGCGCATTCCCTCTGAAGCAAAAGACTGGTTCTTCAGTGTTGCAAAGTATGCCCAAACTATTTTGCTGGGAAAGGGGACGTATTTCGAGGCATAGCTATTTAAAAATGTTAGCTGCTTATGGATGCCTGCCGGAAATGCTCACTCCGACATGATTAATAAAAGTTTCTAGTGAAACATTCCTATTGAATTGTTCATTTATTCAAGAACTGCACTATCTCTACTTGTCATCTTGGACACCCCCACCCCACCCTCAAAGCAAGGTGCAAATATTTCTTTGGACCAACAATACTCTACTCACATCTTGTATCACCATGCTTTTTAAAGGCTTTTCTCAGTGTTGAACAAGACACATAATTTGTTTTATTATGTGTCTCGACAATATTTAGAAAGTGAGGTTTGAATACCCAATATGTTCTCTCTCTCTCTCTCTTTCCTCCATGACACAGATTTCTCAAGACTTGACTTAACTAGATGGGAGCAAAGAGTGCATTAGGTCACTGCTTATTCTGGCCAATCAACAGAACAATCTGTCCGCTCTGTTGTAAAGCTGTCATTTCCTGACAGTGTATAAACGGAAGATTTTTCATTACATGTAGAAGCCATATACTGGACTCTTCTGCTTTATATGTCAAGTCCTATTACGAGGTGCCTCTTTGTAACTGCAAAAACACCCATCACCCAGGTTGAATTGCCCTGAATATCTAGAACAGTGCTGCAGTCTGTTTAGGGTTAATTTGAAGGAGCAGGTAGGCATCACACTGATAATCAGTCTCTTTAGCTCCAACTGGGGTTTTCAGTGTTGCTGAAGAACCATCAAGAGGGGATTGGGTAATACAAACATTAATGCTATTTTACGGCATGCTACTGTTAGCAGATAACACAATTGTCTCCAAGTGAAGACACTGAAGACTGGGGCTTCAGAACAAGAGTCTCTGACCTTTCCTTTCCCTTTATTCCTTCTTGTACAGCCTGTGGATGGGCTTTCATCTAACAGAAGTAAATACAGTACAGAAATGGAGTTCATACCCTGCTCACGTTAGCCAGAATACTTGTTCTGGATAACCTTGGAGAAGTAAAGGTTTCGCTCAGTTACAAAACACAGACATTTCTTAAATTAGGCTGCAGGAGAACTGGAGAATAGTTGATATATTTGTCACATTCCTAGACTTGTTTCTGTTAAATTTATTCAGCTCTGTATGCTCATTACTCAGCATGCCACTGAATGGTAGGTGCTGAGGGTCAACAGCCGAGAAGGCACTTGTCCTCATCAAGTCTTGTCTGTGGGCTTCCCAGAGGCATTGACTGAGCATTGTGAAGAACAAGACGTTGGACCAGGCAGGGTATGCATGTGATCCAGCCGGGCTCTTCTTTCCTCTTTGTGGAATGCAAGAGATAACATTTGTGTGTCTCTGTGTGTGAATCAGCCCTTGCATACAGTTTGTTTCATAAAAGTGTGGAATGCACTTCTCTATGGAGTCAGTCATAAAACCCAGGCGGTTCTTTCCTACCGAGGTGGAAACACGGGACTGCAGAATTAGGCCAGTGAAGCGTTGTCTCACCTGTTGTCAGCTCAAAACATGGCACTTTGGAATGGGCAAAGTTTGCACATTTAGTTGATAGTCACCTAGTGAGGAGACATTCAGTCATGAGCAAGTGTGTGCCAATCAGAGCTTAATGCGGCATAGGTATTCAGATTTTCATCCCTGGCTGCCCATGTTGATGGCAACTGTGGAAGAAACTCCTCAGACATTCTGGCATGGAAAGTCAACTTGGACTGCTTAAGGCACAGCTCGACCTTTTGTTTTGTTTCTAGCAAGCAACAGAGCATGGACAGCCTTTGTAAGCTGTCCTTTACTTAAGAGGTCTATGCTGACCTGATGTAAACTGCCCAGCGAGCTTCAGTTATGGGGTGGCATAGAAATGAAATACACAAAGGAATGGTAAAAGGAGAAGTTTTATGATATAAAGCTATGAAAATAGAGTAAAGCTAGATGTGACTGAGGAGAGCTCACAGTGAATTCCTCTGCTGCACACCGACCACGTTTGCAACAGCAATTGCTGGTGTGTATATTAGCAACTCAGAGTTTACTCATTAGTATTGTTACTTGTTTTAAGGTGGCATGTCCTCTCTTTTTCAGCTCTGAAAAGTGGCAACACGTCTGACCTGAACTATTGCCCTTTAAACAAAAGTAAAAGCAATGCTTAATTCAAAGTGGTTTGAGGACTGGAGTGGAGGAATGGTCAGTTTCGCTCATGCACAGAACTTTTAATTGTAGCTCGATGGAGAAGAAGCAGTGCTGTGTTTCATTTGAATGTAATGAAGGTGCTTCCAGAGAAGGCCTGCTGCTCTGTACAGCTCAAGTGTGTCTTCTCCAGTGATGGAAGTTGACACTTTGATATTAACTACATTACTGCATGATGCAATCGGAAAACAAGCATTTAGCTAAATTAAGGGATGACTGTAATCAATATGGACACAATAACTGCAGTATGATGTGCCCCAGTGCCAAGCAAGAAGATGCTAATTATATTTCCCTAAGATTTACCTGTACAAGGGTATTAGGGTATAACCTGTAATAAGCGTTAGGACAGAATATTTTCATTTTTTCTTAAAACTTATGCTAGAAAACGTTCACCTGCTAGTCTAATTTGCAGGTGTTTAGAGAGATCTTATGAAACATTTTAGCTGGACAGAGAGACAGATATTACTGTTGAAAAGGTTAACGCTAGGAAGGCCTTTCAGCGTATTATGAAGTTGAGATACGGCAGCAAGTTTCCATTTCCACTTCAGATTGCCTGTGGATAAAAGTTGCTTTTAATAAATCACTGTTTGGCAGGTCTATGTCAACTGTCAAGTCCAAAAATGTTAAGTCTTAAATATGCTTTCTTGTCTTTTTCTAAGCAAGTTGAACTTTAAGTAAACAATGCATGCTATGCAAGGCATTTCTTTAACCCATCTCTCAGGAAACTGCAGGAAATTTAGCAGGGGAAACTATTATCTGTGTTTGGCCATGCAATACATTTAACCCTGCAATTCCCTCATGCAGTAGGCATTCTATGCAACATTAACCTGGCCTGTAATGAAGGAAAATACCTTTCCCAAACTGCCGTATTTTGAGAGACCACCTGACTTTCTATTCAGTAGTCCCAGTCTCAGAAACCAGACATGGCCACGTTTGCAACGAGAAATGTTTGCACCATAGCATTAGATGCAAGCTCAGCTGAAAACCTGCCGAAGCCCCAAAGTTCATTTATGTGCACAATACCATTGCATGATTATATTTTTAGCACAATCTACTGGTTCAAAGAATTATTAGGTACTATCCAGGCAAAGCTGAACACATTTCAGTCCTCCTGATTTAATTGGGATTGTTAAGCACATGCTCCTAATTGTTCCTCTGTTGCAGAGAAAGGAATGATTATTTAAATCTGAACCACAACTCTGAAGCGACTCAGGACAGCAGGGGCACTTCATAAACAATATACTGCTTCAGGGTCCCATTCATGGTGCTACCAAAGCTTGACAGGAGCTTTCTCTGCAATACAAGGACATGACCCAACCCTTCCTACAACAGTGGGGGAACCATTATCAGAAATCTTGTTCAGACCATTGATGAAAATATGATGACTGGATACCAAGAC